GGAGAGGTTGCAGGACTGCTCGGACATGTTGGTAGTGTTCAGATGGGGTGTTGGAGAAGATCAATATGTCATCCAGGTATACGGTAACAAATTTATTTATGTAGTCAATTAAAACGGAGTTTAACAGGATTGAAAAACGGCGGGTGCGTTGGTAAGGCCGAAGGGCATGACGAGATACTCGAAATGACCCAGGGGAGACTTGAAGGCCGTCTTCCACTCGTCTCCCTCCCGGATCCTGACGAGGTGGTAGGCATTTCGTAGGTCCAGTTTAGTGAAAATGGTTGCATTCTGGACTGGGTCAAAAGTTGAAGACAGCAGGGGTAATGGATATTTGTTTTTTACCGCGATTTGGTTGAGCCCTCTGTAATCAATGCAGGGGCGCAGGGATCCATCCTTCTTAGACACAAAGAAGAAGCCGGCTCCAAGTGGAGAAGTGGATGGGCGAATGATGCCTGCAGCCAAGGACTCAGAGATATAGGTGGCCATACACTCTCGTTCAGGCTTGGACAGGTTGTACAGTCTGCTGGAAGGTAGAGTGGCTCCTTGGAGGAGATCGATGCAGCAGTCGTACGGTCGATGAGGAGGTAGTGAGGCTGCTTGGTCCTTACAGAAAACTGCTTGCAGGTCGTGGTATTCAGGGGGTATTAGAGACAGGTCAGGAGGAGTGGGGGGTACGGGTGCCGGAGCCTGGGAGGACAGATTAGCAGATAAGAGACAGTGAGAGAGACAAAACGGACTCCAAGAAAGTATCTGGCTGGTCCTCCAATCAATGTGAGGGTTGTGGGTAGTGAGCCAGTCATGTCCCAGGACAATAGGTGACTGAGGTGAGGGAAAAACAAAAAATGACAATGTTTCATGGTGGTTACCCGAAACCTGCAGCTTGATGGGTACTGTTTGGTGAGTAATAGTGGTTAGGGAGCTGCCCTCCAGTGATGAGACTCTGATGGGGTTGGACAGGGGCGTCGTGGGTATTTTAAGTTGATCCACGATGTTCAGGTCAAGCAGGTTCCTCTCGCACCCGGAGTCCACTAGGGCTTTAGCGGGAATACTCTGCTGGTTAAAAAGGATGGAACAGGTTAACAGGCACAGAGATATCTTAGAATCAAGATTTCCACCCACCAATAATCTCGGTCCTACTGGTGGGCTCTCCCTTTTGGACGAACGGGGCAGTTGATCAGGAAATGTCCGGACAGCCCACAATAAAGACACAGCCGAGAGGTGATCCGACGCTGCTTCTCCTCCGGAGTCAGACCGGCCCGGCCTATCTGCATGGGCTCCCCCTGGTTGGTTGGGGCCGAGGCTGGGCTGACTGGTGGCGATGAGTGGGTCGGCCGGTTGGGATGAAGTGGCTGGAAATACTGTTGGGAACGTGGTTGATGAGTCTTAAGCCTCTTCTCTATCCGTACTGAAAGACTGATTAGGTCCTCCAGGTTCTCTGGTTCAGGACAGTACGCAAGCTGATCCTGAATTCTCTCACTGAGAGCCTGGGTGAATGCTTCCTTCAATGAGTCGGCATCCATACTGGAAGTAGTGGCCAGCGTCCTGAAACTTATGGCAAAATCCTGAACTGTTTGTTTACCTTGTTTAAGGTTCCAGATGGTCCTCGATATTTCTGCTGGGGGTTCTGTGTGGTCAAAAGTTAGTTTAAATTCTGACAGGAATTCGCGCAGTGTACCTTTAATGAATGACGGGTCTCTGCCTCTAGCCTCCGCCCATTGTAATGCACGGCCCCGAAGCAGACCAATTATGTGCGAAATTTTTATCTGATCAGTGCAAAACACTTCAGGGTAGGTTTCAAAATGTAACGTGCACTGAAACAGAAAACCCCGTACCTGCTCAGGCTCACCGCTGTAGGTGACAGATGGGGAGGATTCTGGGACCCGGAAGTGCAGACGAGACGTTGGAAGCGTTTGAACGGGGGTTTCTTGGGCAGCCGATGAAGGCGCAGGAGGAGAGATCTTTTCGTGGAGTTGCCGGATAAGACTCTCCAGTTGGAACAAATGCTGATTGGTGTTAGCTGGCTGATCATGGAGGGACCGAATGGAGCTCTCGTGTTGGGACAGAGTTGTGGCGAGATCAGGCGGATGTGATTCAGCGAGTGGGTCTGTGTTTTGGCTGGATGATTCTGTCATGGTGTGGTCGAGTCTTTTGACCCACGACATGCAGAATCACGAAAGAGACAAGGTGAGTAAAAATAATATATAATTTATTGAGGTTGATGAGGCTGGGGAGACGTCGGAGGGGGACGGTTCTGGCAGCGTTCTGAGATAGAGAACAAGAATGAGAAATGTAATGCAAACGGGGAAGGTGCAATCGAATAGAGGCTTACGGATTCCAGGAAGGTAGTGGAGCGCGGAGAGGAGGGCGTGTCAGGTCTGAGTGGTAGCTGGTGGAGGAGGCTGGGAGCTGAGCACCGGTTCCAAGAGCGGGCAGGTGAGCGCAGGAGAGCAGGCGGCCAAGAGAAGCGGTGTGGCTGGTGGACAGGAGATCCAGAGGCTCCGTGTAGTAACTGGTGAGAGTGCAGGTTGAAGAGCTGGTAACAGGCAGATGATGAGAGTACCTGGGCGGGAGAATGGAGGAACGGGACAGATGATGACGAGGCTTAAAACAGGCAGAACAGGATGCAGAATAATCCGAAACAGGTCTAGAGCTGTAGTAAACTACACAATGTGAGTAATCATCCAGCACTGGTGAATTGTCACACCGCTCCTTAAATCCCCTGCGAGCTGATGAGGGAATTTGCAGCAGCTGCTCTCCGGGCGCACCCACCTGCAAACAGGAAAACTCAGAGCGGTTAGCTACACCCATTGTGACACCTTCCCTGTTCCTTAAGTCGTGATTGACGTAGCTTTCATAGATAATGGTGACATGTTATGGAAGTGGATGAAATTCCTTATTATTTTTCTTATTTATTATTTTCCTTATTTGTTTTTGTTTTGTTGCTTTCGTTTGTTGGTTATCCTATTCGGATAGACAGGAGGGGTTATGTTATGGAAATTTTATATTTCATTGCTCTAATCCTATTCACAAATGTCCTGAAGCATTCTCACACTCAGACACACACACACTGTTCTTCCCACACACACACACACACACACACACACACACACACACACACACACACACACACACACACACACACACACACACATTCTCTCACACAATGACCTCACTCCCATTCTTATCTATTTGTTTAAATAAACTCTGTGATCAGATGTTCGGGGCATTTTGCCTCATGCATGTGCCACAGTTATAACTGGTTGACGTGTCTGCTCATTGTCTCCTTCTCTCTTCACTACAGGAAATGGGTTTATTGATAAACATATTGATAAAATCCCTAACAACGTCTGCCTGATTAATCCCGGTGGCTGCCTGGTGGAATCTGGGTTCCTGGGCTCTGTTGGGTCCCCGGCGGGGCTGGTCGCCCCTGGGTCCCGGATCGCTGGCTTCCGGGCTCGGCCGGCTAGGGGGTGGGAGGCTGCGGGCGGGCCTGTGGGCTTGCCGCCGATATCCCCCGGGACTCGGCCGGCTGCTGGTTGTGGCCCCCCGGGGCAATCCTCTGCGCCTCTCGAGGGGGGTGGGGGCTTTTCTGGTCACAGTCTCCCTGGGGTACCTGCGCTCTGGGGCAGCTCCTGAACCTCTGAGTCGTGGAGCTGCTTCCATCTCTTACACATCTTTGGGGGGCAGATCTGTGGCCCCTCACAGTCTATTGGACTCTCCTATAGAGAACCCTTACATATACAAGCGCGGGTATGCACACAGGTGCTCACATGGTGCTCTCATAAGTATGGACTTGGGCACGTTCAACACATGTCGGCTGTGGTTGGCACTTAATGCACTGTGATTTATTATCATGATCGTTCGGTAAAACAATGTTTATTTTATATTTCCTCATCAGGTTGATGTAGTGATAGCTTGCTCCTGATGTATTGCTGTGTGTCTTCTTTTTTTTCTCCTTCTGCAGGTGTAGAAGCAGACTCTTGTTCATCATTGATTGTTTGTTTTTGTGGACCCCCCGTCTCTTCCTTTCTCTTTCACCTCTGTCTCTGTGTCTGGTTGGAATTACAAGCATTCAAAAAACAATAACAATAAAGTTTTAAGTATCAAGTGTGACATTAAAAGCAGACGCTTTGATGATCCACCTAAGAGTAAATCTGTAAGGCTTGTCACCAGCATTCAGACATCAATTCTGTTTGCTTCACAGCCAGACAGGTCACGATAAAAGTAAAAAAAAAAAAATAACAATAAAAGGCTAGAAAAATTATTAGAGGTCTTTAAATGTGTCAGTAAGTCAATTTTTTTAAGTAAAGTAAAACATAAACTTACAACTTCACTATTAAAGACCAATAAAATGTAAGTTATCAAAGGAACTTTATCATTATATTTTACACCTTTCTTCATACAAGATTAAAACATTACTGTTGGCATGTAGATGTAACTTCTTCTGAAAAATAAGGTATTTTCTTTAGACATTCTTGAGACACTCAGAAATTATTAAGTGCCTCTTGCAGCCATAAATTCACTTTCACATTCAAGAAATTATCAAAAGGGCAGACTAGATAAGAAAGAATGCACTTCTTCATAGCTGTGGAGATAAAACTATTTACAGTCTAGGGGAAGAGAGATACGGGACATGATCACCAGCCATTTGTAATATTTTAGCAGAGCTGAAGGAAAGCTGCAGCTGAGACAGGAAAATGCATGCGTGGTTTGGGGGGTGTTTCTCATGAGAAAATAACAATATAAAGTCAAAAGCTCCAAAAATGTAGATTTTGTTGGAAATAGATACAATTTAAAATGATATGAAGCTAAAAGCTTAAAGGTGTTTAGGGACCTTTTGTAACACACACACTACAAAATCAAGTCACAAAGTGGACAGTTTTAAGAGACACTCTAAAGCATGCTGGTTTTACCCCAAATTATACAAAAGTCATGCCATTTACTAAATAAGACACTTGGAAATTTCAAATTAGTAACTGGCATCTACTTGCATTTAATTTTTAACCTTCATTTTAATTCATAAAAAATATAAATGGCATTTTTAAAAACCAATGAATATAAAATATCTTATATCAAGGAAAACAGCGTACAAGTGACTTTAGTAATGATATTTACTACATTTTATTTTGTAATCATCAGTTATACTTATGTGAGACACTAAAGATGTAGAAAACAGTCAGCCACTAATTTTAACTTTCGTTCGACAACATAGATGGTACATAAGAACAGGTCTGATGGTCTGATCTCTCAGCCCATAAATGAGAGAACTCAGGCATCTAGGGAAAATTATAAAACAGACATAAAAAATATTCTGGACCCACAAAAATACCACCCTTGTTAAAACTCTGGAAAGAGTTATGATCAGTGGGTTGTGAATTGTTGAGGACAGGCTGAGACCCAGCTGCACGAGATGCAACAGAAGTGTATGGCGAGCTTTTTGAGCTAAAGCTCTATCAGTGGAGGCTGACCTAGCAGCTACAATGACACCAACATAGGAGAACGTGGCAGCTATACTAGCCAATGCAAAAAGAATACATGTAAAAGCTCTATCATACTCATCAGTCAGAGACCCAAGCACTAAAGCTATGTTAGAACAAAGGTCTCTAATCTGCAAACTTTCCACCTTTTCAAATGGAAACTGTAAAAACAACAAAACACGAGTGACATTGTTCAGGGAACTGACAGCCCAAATGACAATAATAGCCACTGTAGTGCTTCTGATGGTGATGATGGAAGCATGCCTTAGTGGGTAGCACACAGCTACATATCTTTCCAAAGGCATTATTACCAGTGTGAGAGGGGAAATCCCAGTGGTGAGATTAGCAAGCATGCTGAGAGCAGTACAGAGAGAATATGCCAATTTGACTCTACAAACAGAAATTAAAAACTGAACCTGACACTGTGTCAACTGAACAGTGTCTGCAAAAAGGAGATTGAACAGCAGAATATAACGACTGGTCTCACGAAACACAGGCTTACTTCTTAGAGAGACCAACATGGTACCATTAATGAAGAGAAAAAATACAGATGGAACTGTAGACATGGTGGAAAAAATTATTGTCCGCAGTAAAGCCACATTCTGCACATCTTCTGTGATGTTTGAATATGACTGGGAGGCATTCACCATTGCTTTATGAATAAACATTTATCAGCTATTTTTTATGAAGAAGACAAATAAAGTCAGTTCAGATAGTAGTTCATTTGCAACATATTTTGAACACAAATACAGGACAGTTTGGAGAAAAAAAACACTACAATTGTGCAGACAAATGATCACCTGTGAAGAGAGATGATTAGAGTCAAAGTATACAGGTAGACAGGATTTTCTTGATTTTAAACCCTATGTTGTTCCCTTCAGTTTGTTTACGATACACGTCAGCATTGCCTACGAATTACCTCAACTCCCATGTGCCATTGCTAAATTGTGCTTGACACACTGCTTTCACTGATGTGACCATTGGTGGCAGGAAAAGTGGGATATACGCCCATGTCAAATAAGCAGCTTTCATTGAAGAATCAATGTCCACAATAAAATAAATTGAAGTTTAGTTGTTTAAAAGTCAAATTCACTTGTTTGCAGGATTTCCTTCTTCCACCTCTAAGATTAGAAGCATCTTGTCCAGATGTTGAGTACCATTAGAGAAAAAAAACATGTTGAAATTGCAGCATCTCCTCCTTGCGTTAAATGTAATTTAAGTTGTTTGTTGGTCAGGGATGTTATCAAAGTAGATAACAATTGGTTTTAAATGATGGGTCAATTGGGCAGTGTAGGAGCCAAATATGTTGTTTCCTTTTCTTTGGTCATGATGTTTTAATTGATATGTGGGCGTGTCATTATTACTGGTTGGAATAAAGGTAGTGATGTCATTGTTGGTGTCAGGCACTATTCCGGAAGGGCAAACAGGTTATTGAACGCTGTGGCGTGAAGACGTTTGAATGGGAAAGTAAGCAAATTACTCCTATCATTGTTTCACCTGGAATGCAATCAACATTATCAAGAAGCATTATCATAACAATTCCACGCTTAAGGCTGTTTTTTAAGCAAATAGTAATTTAATTAGTCAACATCGGATCAACACAGAGCGTCAACCAGGTCCCGGTCTAGCAGCCTCAGAAGTTCGAGTAATGGACTTGACTTCTACATTTAATAACCTCCCGTGGGGATGAGTGGACGTCGTTGGACGCTGTTGTCGCTGGTCGAAGGGGAGCTGCGTGACAAGTGGAGCAACTGGATGTGCGTTGGATCCCTGCGGGTCTGAAGGGCGTTTCCTGTTTGTTTGGAGGAGGAAATCAAGTCGTCGGACCAAGCTGAGGATCACCGCAGCCACAAGTCGTCACGGCGCCCATCAAAGGTAGGCGTAGCGCTACGCTGAGCATGGCCATTTAAATTGTGTGCACACAAAATAAAACAAAAGTCCAATGCATTGGTAACCGAATTAAGGGAGCTACAACTTTGTACAAGTTTTCATCTTCGCTGCGAACCTGGGGAGGTTGTCATGGAAACTGAGGGAACAAAGTCGGATATAATGAATCCCGGGACTAACATGCAATCTATTAATAAATTAAGTAGCCTGTCGGACAGTGTTAAAACGGTAGCAGTAAAAAGAGTGGTAAAGCTCACTGAAAAGGCACTTGTTAATGAGTTAGACAGGTTGCAATCAGGTAGAAAAGCAATATTAAATAAAGCAGCAGTATTAATAAAATCAGTACAAAGTTTGATGCAGAAAAATTAAAAATTAATGGTAAAAAATGCTTTGGAAGACATGCTTGCACTGCGTGTAAAGGTAAAAGGTTTGCATAATGATTTGATGGGTTTATTGCCGGTTGATGAAAAAGAAAAACATGAAATATGGTTTAAAGCAAAAATGCTTCTATTGATGAGTGTGTTGTGAACACTAAGGTGTGGGTTTCAAATGATGGTGGTGATAAAATGACAAGGTTGTTGATGATAAAAACCCTAATGACAGTGTTTCAAATATTAGTAAACATTCAAGTCACAAAAGTGGTCAAAGTAATAAATCCAGCAGCACATCAGTGGCAGCTGTCATGGCTCAGGCAGACAAAGCAGCACTTCTGGCTCGTGCTGCAGAATTAAAGAAAAAACATGCATTGGAGGAGGAAGAATTGATGTTGAAGAGGAAAAAGGAACAGCTGGAATTGGAAACAGAAATAGCTGCATTTGATGCAAAACTGGCTGTGTTGCAAACTTCAGGAAGAAAATGTTCTTCACAAAGATCGAGCAATGGCATGAACTCTTATTTTGAGAAGGAAAAAGGGAAAAAGGTACATAATTTTTTGAATCCACTGGCAAAGGAATATCAACCTGGAGCATTGAAAACAACTCAAACAAGTGCAAGGCAGCTATTAAAAGATGTGCAACCTACAAAAACAAGACAATGGATTGAGGATTCCTCAAAATATCTGCATCGTCACCAGGAAGAGGACAATATTCCAGAAACATCTCAACTTTTGACTCATCCTTTGTTAACTGTTCAACCAATACATCAGCCACAAAGCAATAAAGACGTTTCTGAAAATATACTGAATGTCATGCATAGACAAAATGAAATATCAGCAGCATTGTTACAGCAGCAACAGTTGACCTCATTACCACCAAGGAACATTCCTATATTTGAAGGTGACCCTCTTCAATACAGAACCTTCATAAAAGCCTTTGAACAAGGAGTGGAGAAAAAGTCAGGAAAAGCGGATTGCTTGTATTATCTTGAGCAGTTTACAAGAGGACAACCAGGCGAGTTGGTACGCAGTTGTCAGCACATGGCTCCGGAGCGTGGCTATACAATGGCAAAGGATTTGTTACAGAAACATTTTGGAAATCAATATACGATTTCAAGTGCTTACATCAGGGGTGTGAAATGTGTGGCCCGCGGGCTGGATCAGGCCCGCACACAGTTTAAATCCGGCCCGCGAGATGATTGTGTAAACCTTATTTTCAGACTTAACAATGTAAAGTCTGAAAATAAGGTTTCATTTTTCAGTTCAACTGCTGGTGAAAGCTAAGAGATGTCAGGTATCAGGAGTAAAAGACATGCATGAAACTGATGTAGCCATGTGATCTGTGAATCAGTTATTTGAATTACTGAGGAATAGTCTGGGCTTTTTGTTTTGTATTTCACATTTTCAAATACACTTCAGGTGTTTTATTATTAATAGTGATGTTGTGCTTAAACTATTTTGGATACACTGTCCTCAGGCTCCAGCTTTGTTTTATGTTGACCGTATTAAAACAAAGAAAACAATCTGAAGCAGTTTTTAATTTATACATACTTTAATTTTACGGGCCTGGCCCACTTGGGACTAGATTTTCCTCAATGTGGCCCCTGAGCAAAACTGAGTTTGACACCCCTGGCTTACAAGGAAAAGGCTTTTTCCTGGCAAACCATGAAATCAGAAGATCTGAAAGCACTACAAGCCTATTCCTTGTTTTTAAGAGGATGCAGTAATGCCATGGAAGATCTGCAACACATGCAGGAGTTGGACATGCCCGTACATATGAGAGCCATTATTGCAAAGCTACCCTTTAAATTAAAGGAGCAATGGAGGACCAGTGCTTATGAAATAATGGAAACAACCGGACGTCCAGCATGTTTTAACGATTTGGTCCTGTTCATTGAACGTCATGTCAAGATTTTGTCAGATCCATTGTTTGGTGAAATGCATGATCCAATCTCTGGTGTCATTGGGACAAAGGCCGCTTCAGATTACCATCCAGCAACAGAGTAAAAGGAAATATTGTTGCCACCACAGTAACATCAGTGGAAGTATCCAAGGGAAATAAAGAACCAGCATCTGATTCAAACAAATTGGAAAATGAGTGTCTTTATTGTGCTCACATACATCCATTGGAGGGATGCAAGAAATTTCAAGAAAAAAGGCACAAAGAAAAGCTCTCATTTCTGATGGAAAAGGGGATTTGTTTGCATGTTTGTACGGGGCACGAGCCGGGATTGTAAGGCCCGTCTAAAACGCAAAGTTTGTGGACACCTCCATCCTACTGTGCTTCATATAAAGAGAGAAACACAGGTTGAAACAGTGGATACTTCCAACCAGTTAATCCCACCCAAAACATGTGGACATACAGGGGCCGGTAATGAAAAGTGTGTGCTGTTTATCTTACCAGTAAAGGTTAAAAGCACCAAGGGAAATCAAATAATACACACCTATGCATTTTTGGATCCTGGAAGCTCAGCCACATTTTGTACTGAGCAGCTGATGCAAACGTTGAATGTTCCTGGTCGGAAAACCAGCTTCCTGTTGAGCACGATGGGGCAAAAAACAGTTATGCCAACACTCCTATTGAATGGTTTGGAGGTATCTGGCCTACGCAGTGATGACTTCTACAGTCTTCCTGAAGTCCTCACACAAGTGAAAATGCCTGTCACTGTTGATAACATGATGACAAAGGAATAACTGACAAAATGGCCAAATTTATCAAAGGTCAATTTTGCAACCATAACAGCGGATGTGGACTTGCTGATTGGAACCAATGCGTCTAAACTGCTGGAACCCTGGGAAGTCATTAATAGTTGTGGAAATGGTCCGTATGCTATTAAGACAGTATTAGGATGGGTGGTTAACGGTACACTGAATGGTAACAGTGATATCTTAAAAGATGAACCTCTCACAGCCACAGTGAACAGAATTTCTGTGTGCAAATTGGAAGAAATGTTGGCAAACCAATATAAGCATGAGTTCTACGAGAAAGTCGTGGAGGGGAGTGAAATGTCCCAAGAAGATCTCCAGTTTATGGAAAGCATGGATCGTTCAGCAGTGTTTCAAGGGAAGCAATATTGTTTAAAGTTGCCCTTTAAAGACAAAGAAGTACTTTTACCAAACAATCTTGCAGTAGTCAAACAAAGGATGCAAGTTTTGAAGAAAAATCTCTTGAAATCCAAACAGCTGCGCCAAGGGTACATAGAGTACATGGATACAATCTGCAAAAAACAATATGCAGAGCAAGTACCTCACCAAGATCTGCACTGTGAAAAGGGAAAGGTTTGGTACATTCCGCATCACTGTGTTTTCCATCCGAAAAAGAAATCTCTTCGTGTGGTGTTTGATTGTGGAGCTACATTTCAAGGTGTATCCTTGAACAGTAAGCTGTTGCCTGGGCCAAATCTCACAAGCTCTCTACTTGGAGTTTTACTTCGATTTAGAAAGGAGCCAGTTGCCTACATGGGTGACATTCAAGCCATGTTTTATCAAGTGAAGGTTGCAGAAGAAGACAGAGATTTTCTTCGCTTTCTCTGGTGGCCAGAAGGAGACCTCACTCAGGAGTTCTTGCAATATCGTATGACTGTGCATCTGTTTGGTGCTACATCATCTCCAAATTGTGCAAGTTATGCACTAAGAAAAACAGCAGATGACAATCAGTCTGAGTATCCTGAGGAGGTTACTCAATCTATAAAACAGAACTT